TAAGGACCCACAGCCCAGCCTCGCTGGGGCGCGGCGAGGAGAGGACGGGGCAGCCCCACTCCTGCGTCTCCTTTGTGCCCTCCAGAGCTGGCTGAGTGTGCATTTCTTTTTCTTTTTTTTCTGGATAAAATTTTATATTTACTATACTAATTCTTAAAAAAAATCATTTTATTGGGGCTCGTACACCTCTTATCACAATCTATACAAATGTACACACGTGCTTGACACAGTGGATGTACGTGTGGAGTGTGCATTTCCTTCCAGCAGCTGTGCCACCTCCTCCCTCGAGCTCAGCCTCCTCCCGGGGGGTGCCACCCCCTCTTGGGAGCACCACCTCCTCCCAAGGACCCTGCCTCCTGCCGGGGCAGGAGGTCCCCCTTGCTAATCCAAGCCCTTCTGGGTTTCTTTGCAGTGTGGCGTCCTGAGACCGGTCATTCACCCAGCTAGACGACATCGCCGATGAAGGTAAGGAAGTGTTAATGAAACGGCTAAAGGGCATCATTTGGTCTAGCGTGTCAGTAGCGTTAAAAAACCTACAAGGAACCACAACGCTGTCTTGGAAGAAATGCAGTCAGAATGCCCCTTGGTGGGGTGGAGGGGGAGACTCTGCCTCATGTGGGCCCAGTCCCTGGGGAAGGACGGCATGTTGGTAAAGCTGAGGGTCAGGGGGAGAGGAAGCGCCTCAGCGAGATGGACACACGGCTCTTGTGAGGGTGGTGAGGGGCCGGGACAGGCAGGGCAGTGTTTCCTAACGCTGAACTGCTCGCTGAGTCAGAGCTGATCTGACGCCCTCTAACCATGACTTCCGCATGGACCTCTTTAGGATGACACTTTGAGGACAAAGGTGTGTTGTCATGAGCAAACCGTGGCATTTCCAGTGGCCTCCGCTGCCTGTGAAAGGCAGACATTGAATACGGAAGACCGAGCGGCACGGTGCTTCTGAGTGACCAAGATACCACGAACTGCCAAGAGAAGAGACAGACGACCTTGGAGGAAGTACAGCCAGGCTGCTCCTTAGAGACGAGCCCTGGAGAAGGTCATCCTGCTTGGTAAAGTAGGGGGCAGCGAACACGAGGAAGCGCTTCAACAGCATGGATGGCCCAGTGGCTGCACCAATGGCTCACACGTCACAACATTTGTCACAACATTTGTCGGGGGCGCAGGGCTGTTGTGAGTCAGAACTGACTTGATGGCATCGGCCAACGACCACAGCCACACTGTGAACACCACGTTTACAACACGGTCACTGCTCTCGGGGTTTGTGGAGCTACTTAGTTAATCTGTGCCTATTGAGATGCCCGATCGTCTCTGCCCCTTGGGTTAAGCAGCCAATGGATCCAGACTCAAAGCCCCTCTTTCTCACTTTAGGCAATGCCCATGTCACATGCCGGAAGTTTCTGTAGTCTTCCCGATTCATTGTCAGGCATCCACACGCACGTGGGGTCAGTGCACAAAGATAACTCAAAACTGGTCACAGCAGCACATGGCCAGGGAGCTTCCAGGGGGTCAGGCCGGATTCAGAAGGGGGTGTGGAACAAGGGACATCATTGCTGGTGCCAGACAGATCGTGGCTGAAAGCAGAGAATACCAGAAAGAGGTTTACTTGAACTCTATTGACTAGGCCAAGGCATTAAAATTCAACTGTGGGGATCATGACCCACTTCGGATAACACTGGGAAGAATGGGAATTCTGGGACACTTCATGGTGCTCACCTGGAACCTATACACAGAACAAGAGGTCATCCTGTGGACAGAACAAGGGGACAACGAGTGGTTTAAAATCAGGAAAGGTGTGTGTCAGGGTTGGACCCTCTCACCACCTATTCAGTCTGTACGCTGAGCAAACAGCTCAAGCGGCTGGGCTTTCAGGAGAACAGCATCAGCTGGGGGACGGCTCATTCACAGCCTGTGCCGTGCGGCTGACCTAACCTTCCTGTGGAAAAGCTAAGAGGACTGAGGGCCTTGCTGATGAAGCTTTCAATACAGATTACACCTGAGCACAAAGACAGCGTGTCAGTCCGGGTGCTTTGGAGAAACAGATCCACAGAAACTCATGGACAAGAGAGTTTTATAAAAAGGGTAAGTGCACATCAAGAAAACATCCCAACCCAGTGCTGCCCAACCCACAAGTCCAACATTAACCCATTAACCCGTATGTCCGACATCAATCCACAAAGTCCTCCTCCATCTCACAAAACAAAGGCAATGATGCCGACTGCAGGAGGAAAGCCGAGTCAGTGAGTGTGTAAGCATCTCAGTGCTGGCAGGGATCTCCACACAGCTGCTCCAGCACCCAGGGCTGCATCGGGGTAGGTCTATGTGGCTTCTCCTGGCGGATATCTTGCAGGAAGTGAGCCTTGCAAGCTGAAGCAGGGAACTGCTAAGGCAGCTGCACCCTGGTGCAACCATCACAAAGCAAGAGACCCGAGCACTAGAAAGGTGAGGCTCACCACCCATTTATCCCTCTGCCCTTCAATTAATCCCACATGCGTTTATCGGCCAGGTTGGCCCAATAAACTAACTAACTCAGACGGCGAAAGTCCTCATTACTGGACCGGTGAACAGTAGCCACACGATACATGGAGATAGAGGGAAGATTCCCTCAAAGATGCGGAGAGGTAACGGGAGGCTGTCATGCTTTGGAGACAGTCAGTCCAGGATGAAGAGTTACCAGGGCTTGCGGCACAGGCTGGGGCCAAGTTATTTAGGGTTCACTAGCTTTTGGAGGAAGGGAAGGACGAGAGACGGATGTGAAAAGCGACGAGAAGAAATGACTTCAGCCTCCCCTTCCCTGAGTGACGGGCTCTTTGCAGCCCACCGCAGCGAGAACCCTCCCGACAGCTTCACACCCTGATCTTGTGTGTGTCTGGGGGACTCACACGGCAGACCCACGGGCCCTGATGTGTCAATGGAAACAATATTTCCAAGTGGGGAGACAACTTCCATGGCCAAGCTGACAAACAAAACCTTTCAGATTTCCTTGTTGCAGAAACTTCCCCACTTTGTAGACTCTGGAAGAAATCCCCACCCCGTCCTGAAACCTGGGTGGAAAGAGCTGCATTTATTCACTGCTGGATGACATGAGCAATACAGGCATTTGCAAAAGGTTTCTACTTGGATCGATAGCTGACTCTTTCTATGCACAATAAAGCAGCCTCAACACCGTTTTCCAGAAAGTGCGTGTGTGGGCGTTTACAGTATGCATGTAGGTATGTGGGTATGTGTCCCTCCAAACGTGTGTGCGGGGGTGAACACGGTGGATGT